AAAATAAAGTAATTTGATTTTCAAAAAAAAAAACAAGCGAAATGGGCGTACCCCCAGTCAATGTCAAATATGTAAACATTTGTATTTTTAAAATTAACCGGGGCCCCCATTTAGCTTGTTTTTTTTTTCGAAAATCAATTTGCGCAATTTTGGAAAATTAAGTTAGGCTCTAAAAAATCATGACTGAAAAAAAAATTATACCAGTTTTTTACCCTCGTGTGAAATTTATAATTTTTATATTTAGGATAGCTCTGGGGCGGTTGAAGGAATTAAAAATATATTTTTTTTTCACCAAAATATTTATTTTTATCATACAGGCGTTTTAAATTTAAAAAATATTCATATTTCGCATCACCCTAGTATACAATCATCCCAAAGACTTAGTTGGGGTCCAAATTTTCGACATGTCCAAGACATCCTCTAAAATTGCGACGGCTACGATCGAGGGTTTAATGTGAAAAAGTTTGTACTCCATAAGGGCCAAATCCAGTATGTATTTGCACAAAATGATTTTTTATACAAACGTTTATTGATAAAAAATCATTCTACGAAAAAAAACCTTTTTTTAAGGACTTTTTTATTTATATACAGGATAAAACATAATATATTATATTATTAAGAAAATTTATTTGAAAACAATACATATTTTTTCTTTTGCAAATTATAATGATAAAAGTTTGACAAAGATGAAACAAAGTATATGTTTATTAAAATTTAATTTTCCTTTACATTTTTAACTAAATACCGGTCATTAATTTTCTATTATTGTTATTAAAGTCTATTTGAATATTGGGACCGAAAACTTGACAGCGTTAATTTATTTCCCATTTTCTTGAATTTTTAATTTGTTATTATTTCTAACTTTTTACTAAATAACTTAAGAATTTTAATAATTGCTCCTCTCGCTATTTCTTTTAGACACGGTCTTGTTATTTACATTGCAAAGCAGCTACCGATCGCTTTAGACCGAGTTTGGTTTACTTCTCTAGGCCATATAAGGAACTCGTTAAATAGCTGAGATGTTGTGTTTTGCCTTATTTGACGTGAAAAACTTAACGTTAACATCGGGCCGGGACGATTTACGTATGTGATACAAAACACGAACACTCCACTCTTATATGTCCACGTTCTTGGACAAATTAAAATGACATCCTTTAAATATATCTATGTACATTCAAAATATAATATATATTATTAATATTATTTTCTTATATTCATAAAAATCCTTTAAAATTATGGTGAACCTGCTTTTGTTTTTCACTGCTTTTATATCAGAATAAAAGTGTTTTAAAACAAATGAAGAAAAATACCTTTTTTTTAAATAATGATATATTTTTAGAGATGGGAATCGGAAAGTTTCTATTTTAAGGAAAGTTTCCGTTTTGGAAAATTTCCAATTGGGAATTTATTTTCATTTTGAAAGTTTCATTTAAGCTACCGGAAACATTCCTTGGAAACTTTCCTTGTTTTTTTCATTTAAATGTCAATTCTGCCGTGCTTAATGAAACCGCCGTAACCAACAATTTTGCGATTTTTGTTTTACGGCATTTTCTACTAGAACAATTCATCCTGCGTCTATCCCCGGTACTCAAAAAACCGTATATATATAGATACGGTTTTTTGAGTACCGGGGATAGACGCAGGATGAATTGTTCTAGTAGAAAATGCTGTAAAACAAAAATCGCAAAATTGTTGGTTACGGCGTTTTCATTAAGCACGGCAGAATTGTTTAACCGCTGATTTTCGTTAAGGCCATGATACAAGGCCAAGAAACTTTGAATAAGAATTTAATGTGTGTTAATTTAAAGCAGAAGCAGTATAAATAATGTAAGTTATGTTACATAACCTCAATGAAGCCGGATTATTTAGCACCATCACAAAAAACTTTTTTAAAAAAAGGTAAACAAAATAAAAATAATAAACAAAGTTAAAATCATTCTTACATTTTTGTTGTTTATTTATAGGCATAGCACAATGCCAAGAAAAAAATCTAGTGTTTGGAATTATTTTTTACTTTACTTTTAACTTTTCAATATTCCTATATATTAGTTACTTTGTCCCTTTTAATTTTTTTGCGTAATATCTAGTATTTACTAGCAGTGAATTTATAATAGTAAAACTTTTATTTTTATTTTGTAGGTTTCAGTATACAATAGCCTATTGTCAATAGGAATATTCCAAACTAAAAGATACTAAAAATAGTATTGCATTTTTTTATATTTTTTTTTCTTAATAAAATTTGACAAAAAGTTAATGTGTTATATATTTTTACAAATCCCTGGCATAAAAAAAATATTTTCGCAATAAATTTTTTTTTTTTAAACTTTCGGAAAATTTCGGGAATTTTCGATGGAAAGTTTCCGGGAATTTTCGTCAAATGGGAATTTTCCCATCTCTATATATTTTAGATATAATAAAATACGTCAAAAAATTATCAATTATAAAATTATTACATTATAAATAAAATTAAACAAAAATCTTACAGTCGTAATTACACTGAGAAAATAAATACTTGTACTATTAATATTGAATATCAGGAACATACTAATTTTATCTATTTTTCCCTGCATGTAAAAACTTAAAATTTACAACAGAGAATTTTTGTTACACGTGTTTTAGATCCAATGATTTAAATTATTAATAGCCAATCTACGAGCAGGTGGTAGTCGAATCAGTCTAAGTTAATTTGGCATTTTAAAGATAAATAATTACGAAAACAACAGATGGGATAGACAAAGGTTGTAAATTCTAGCGGTTTTCAATGGGAATTTAATTGTAAGATTTATTTCATACATTAGAATTTAAAAAATTAAATGCAAAAAAATGGAATTGGAATTTGAAGGTTGTCAAGTTTTCTTTTTAAAATTTAACCTTATAATATTATGTTATGGAGGTTGTAAATCTACCATAAAGGTAAATAAAAATTAGAATAAAATTAATGGTAATTGTTCAAATATGTTTTTTTGGAATTTTGGAAAGATAGTGGCCCAATATTCGTAATAATATTAAGCCAATATATCTTTCGTCAGATTTTTTCTAGCATGGTCCAATATTGAAACCCAACATTAGCCCGAAGTTGTTTGACATTATATAACCGATATTGGAAATCCGCATTGGCCCGAAGTTGTTTTACATTATATTCTAGGAAAGTTGAGGGAGAAATTGAAAGAAAAAAAAATAGCCACATAGTACTTACTACGTAGTAGGATTTCTAAAAGTAATATGTCACGATCGTGTCGACAAACTTTTGTTTTCAGGAAATGTTTATAGTAGGTACTTAGGGGTGTAGAAGCGGGGGGGGGGGGGCGGTTGACAATGCCCACCCAAATGATAAGGGGGAGAGGGGAGTTACTTGATATAAAATGTACCCTCCAAATTCTTTGAAAAAATCTAGCAATAAGACAAGTCGTGTACCGTCTATGTTATTCTTAATTACGATGAAATGCTAAAATCGTTTGTATCGTGTGCTAAAATGATCAGCTTGAGCTTTATTAACGTAATAACGAATTCTAAATCTAATAAGACCAGAAATCGCATATTAGCCTTGTTATTCTTACGGTAATATGCAAGAATGGCCTTTATTATTCACCCATTTGGTGCTAAACAATAAGGATGGTAGTCGGTTGCGCCACCCCCCATCTTAAAACCGTTCCTGCGCCACTAGTATAGACATATCCTGGAAACAAACGTGTGTCGTTACATATCACTTTTAGAAATCCGAAAGCATCGTACCAAGCTTGAATAAACATTGGCAAGATATATTAAATTATCATTTTATGCCAATATAGGGCCAACATCGGCTAAATAAATCCAATATTAACACCAGATAAAATATTCGGCATAGACGCGCCTCATATAGGACCAATAATTTGTGCTACTGGGGTGGTTAATCATATAAAATTGCAATCGCTGAAAAGTGAAAATTATAATCACATTCAAGTTTATAAATATTATCGAGTGAGTTTCAAGTTTATAAGTCCACCCTGAAACCATTGAAGCTACTAGCTTAAAACTTTATAATTTTCCTTACCTTGTTTGCTGCAGTGTTTCTCCTAGCTAGCTAGCTTCAAGCTCTTTAAGATAAGCGAATTTAAAAGTAATATTACGCTTAAAGTCCACCCTCTTAAGTACATTAAGGTGAAACAACGGCCTTAACAGTGATTTTTTTGTATCTATAGATTTGTGAATTAGAAAAAATAGTTTACTATAATTTTAATCTTGAAAAGTTTTTTGGAACATTATTTAACATTAGGACAAAGATCATGATCAACCCTTATTTAAATCGTTAAAAATACTTTGGTTTTACTTGCTTTAATTCAAGTGGTTTTAGATGAAAAAACTACCATTTATAGAATATTTCTTCTTTGAATGCTACTCTTATTCATTTAATTTTATTGGGATACTATACAATTCTGTAATTTAAAAAAAAAAATCTGTATATAAAACAAATGCTTATAAAAAGCAGTCAAGTACGAGTCGGACTCGCGTTATTTATTTTCAAAATTATAAATATTTTAAGTACATTGGTACACGACCGAATTTCCGAAATTGAGTGCTACCATTGTTTTTAGACCTCTAAAAACAATGGTGCTACTACACAAACACCTTTGCTGCGCGAACTTCAATCACCTTTCTGTAAAATTTTATTTTTGGACCCTTGTAAGGTTCGTTTTTTTGGAGCGCTTTACATATTAAAAGTATTGTCAGAAATGATAGTCCAAGAGCCCAGTCAGTTTCAATCCTACAAAAATATGAAAATTATAATGAAAAAAGCAGTGATTCAAATGGTGCTGACTGATTATTTTTATAATATTATTCAGAGTTCTCAGGAAAATAGTAGAAATGGCTCAGACGGTACTAATGGCCTTAAAAATTCCAATGGAATAACGATCTTTGGTAACGTTTTATTGTCCCAAGACCAATCCACAATTCCTAAGAAATTGACTACAGTGTAGTAACTAACAATAAGAATAAATAATTAAAAATTTAAAATTTTGCAGGTTACCAATACTGATACAGATCATCCCGATCAGGTTATCAAACAAGAATATGAAAACAATAATGAAAAAAGCAGTGATGCAAATGATGCTGACTCTGATCATTCCTATTTTCAAAGATTTGAGAAAAATACTCGTAGTAACAAAGACTTTAAGAACAAAAGAAAATCTAGGAAACTCAAGAGAGACGGTGTGTAAATTAAAGAAAAACTGCAAGGGCAAAAAGTGATAAATATAAAACAAAGAATGGAAAAATTATTGTAACAAAAAATTTAAGACCCTCTTGCTGCTGTAAGAAAAAATTAACAATGACCAGAGGCTTCGGTTGTTTCAAAACAATTTTTATCTACTTCAATAAGAGAGCATAAAAAATTAAGAATTACAAAACCAGAGTATGTAAACAAATGTTTTTAAATACATTTGACATAAGTGTAAAAAGGTTTAGGTATGTAGCGGAAAAGAGTAGAGAAGGTGGCGCTAGGATATGTGCAAGGGACCAGAGGGACAAGCATGAAAAGCACCCACAAATATCAGCAGAGGATAAACAGTTTGTTATACAACATATTACTGAATTTCCTGCATATCAAATCCACTACTCCAGATCTCACTCTGCTAAACGCTATTTGTCACCTGATTTGTCAATTCGACAAATGGACAGATTGTACCTAAAAGAATTTAATGAGAAAGAAACCAGTTTCCGATCATTTTTATAGAAATATGTTTGTTTCTAAATTCAATCTTTCTTTCCATCCCCCAAAAAAAGGTTGGAAGATTTTAATAAAAGCTTCTAGTGATGAGGGAGAAAACTAAAAACTAGAACATGTGAAGGCTGCTGATGAGGCATATAAGGAAAAGAAAAATGATAAAAAGATTAGTCAAGAAAATTGCAACATCTACCGACTCCACATATTAGAAGTGGTATGCATTTTACAAAAGGCAGCTTTGGGTATTCAACCTAACTATCTATAAAGTAAAGGGTGTCGATACTAATTTAATTTGTTATATGTGGGATGAAACCACTTTTGGCCGAGGTGGACAAGAAATTGCATCATGTCTCTTAAAGTATATAAAGGGATTACCTCCTACCACAACCTCTATTAATTTGTACAGCGACTGTTGTTCGGGGGAAATCCGAAACATACATATTGCCATTCTCCTTTCTTTAATTTTTGAGTTACTGCCAACTAATTATCAGTTAAGAGAAATAAATCATAAATTTTTAGTATCAGGTACTACTTTCATTTTATCAAAAAAAAAAAAACTACCCTTGAGGAATCTTTTTTGCATGTTATACAGAAAAAAGCGTGGTTCAGGATATATACCCCAGCTCTGGGTCTTAACATGCAAATTCTCCTACAGTTCCTCACCTTACAGCGTAACTGGGCTTTTACAAGTCCAGCATGCTGTAATGCAGCTATTAACTTTTCATCTGGCTTAGAGGTAAGCTCATAAACATTACATATTTTAAGTATTCATTTTGCAACGTTCCTACTACCTACATTGCAACATTACTTCTACCTAGTACCTACTTAATATACACTCACGTGCAAAATAATCGATCCACACAAATTTTCTATGAATTTCAATCGCAAATAACTTTTTTATTTGATGTCGGATTTAAACGAATATTAAAGAATATTGTAGATAAATTAATGGACAATCGCTCACATTTAAAAAAAATACTAAAAAAAATAGACGTACGTTTATAATATACAGGTTTAAACAAAAAGATGTTTAAGACACTCTGTAGAGTGGCAAAACCGTATATTGTTCTAAATTAAGTTTTATTTAGTCACATCTATTCTTAACAGTTTTGTTTGTGGTTCACCTCGATATATTTATTTTTGTGGAAAATATGGATTTTTTTAAAAAACATTGCAATTTCCAATATTTTTCTGTATGAAGAACTAAGGTTGCTATGGTCCATCCATAGCCTATGGAGAATGACAGTGACAGTTTTGTTGAATCAACCCATACTTGGACATGTCATATACTGCTTTCAAAAGCTATCAAATTGTTGTTTGTAAATTAATGTGTTAATTTTGAGCTGTCTTCTTACTTTTAAAAATGTCTCAGACTGATGTTGCCCTTTGTACTTCACTTCTTATGACGTTAAAAACCAGGCCCGTTCCTGGGGTGTCTGGCGCCTACGTGCAGCATTCTTTGGTGCGCCCCTTTTATATTTAAATATAATACATTAAATATTTTAATTTTGAGCCCTAAAATTTCCAAAATATATATTTTGCAACAAACTGGCAAAATGTACTTGAAAATGTAAAAAAAACTGCTGAAATTGAGTATAAAAAATATTTATTAAATTATCAAACAAACAAAATCACAAAAAATAGTTAGTAATAAAAATACTCTAGAGAAAACAAATTTTTTTTAAAACCAAATAAACAATATAATAACTACAACTGGTTTTTAGTGACGCACTCTCTAAAAATGAATTAGTCAAAAATGACTTTTAAAGTAACTACACTGAGAAAAAAATTGGACAAATAAACTGTGTTGCTAATACTTTTATTTATAGTGAATATATTGTTTATAACCTCTAAATAGTCAAAATAATAACGATAAATATACTTTAGTAAAACTTTATGTGTCGGGAATAAAAATATATTTAGGATAAATAAACTGTACCCTTGTCCCATATTTAAATATTTTTTTTATTTGGGAGCAATAAACTTTTTTCTCAGTGTAATACCTATAGTCCACAGCAATTTGTATCCTGGATATTTAACAGCTTCTTATTATGTAAAATTGTCCCCTGAATCCAAAAAGACCGTCAAAAATTATGAAAGTAGAGCGGTTTTTGAGATATCGTATAATCCATATTATATGGAAATTTGACTATATCTCAAAAACTGTTCTATGTACTTTTATAAGCGGACAATTTTACATAGGATTTGACTGCTAATTGTCCGGGATGCAAATTGCTGTTGACGATAATTATTAGTGGCTGCTTTTTCGCTATGGCAATTGGTCATTTTTGATTAATTAATTTTTAGAGAGTACCTTTAGTTACAATGTCATGTACTGTGTAGACTACTGTTAAACTTTGCTACCGTCAAGTGCAACTATAAAACAAATACTAAAAATATTATGACAATTTCTTTCCTTTTATTTTGATACTTAAGTATTGTTGTATAGTATGTTGATATAATTATATCAACAACAAAACTTAAGTCGCTAAAATTAAAGCGGCAAAAGGCGCTTCATAGCGGCCGAAAAAAATGGCGGCAACCTTTATCCTATATATGTATATAAGTATTTGTTTATTTGCAAGAAAGTACCGATTGACTCTTTGATTTTGCGCCCCCAAAATGTTGCGCCTGCGTGCGTGCACGCAATGCACGCCCGCCAGAAACGGCCCTGTTAAAAACACTTGCCACGTAATACTGTGACCGTCCATCCTGGATTAAATTAATAGCTCTGGCAACATCAGTCGGAGACATATCCATTTTATAAAGTAAGAAGACACCTCAAAATTTAAACATTAATTTGAAAAAACAATTTGATAGCTTTTGAAAGGCGTGTATGACATGTCCAAGTATGGGATGATTCAACAAAACTGTCACTGTCATTCTCCATAGGCTATGGATGGACCATAGCAACCTTAGTTCTTCATACAGAAAAATATTGGAAATTGCAATGTTTTTTAAAAAAATCCATATTTTCCACAAAAATAAATAGTAAGTATTTTAATTAAAAGTATTTAATCCAATGATAATAAAATAAACTATATATGTTGTTATCTGGGTTGCCTTCATATGTACCGTAAATTAAGATAATATTATATTATTATTCCTATACCTTGCCCATACTTCAGTAATTTTAATATTTAATTTAATGTATTAGCATATTTATATTTTAAAATATTGTAATACTTTTGCCATTTCTAAACTTGGCAACATTGAATTACACGATAAAACACTTATTCTGTCATTTTAAATTGTGACAGATTAAAATTCAGTGCAGTACATGGAAAAGGTGTCAGTTTTAAGCAAGGTTTGTTAAATTTAACGCTATATAGTATATACTGTATGTAATATATATATTTATATATATATTTTATAAGTTTGGGTTTTCCGCACCTAAATATGCTTAAAATTTTTTGTCAAAAATTCACAATAAAAATTGGAGTTTGAGAGTGTGCTATTGTGTACTGGAACCAAACCCGCAATTTTTATTCATGAAATTTACTATTTAAAATGTCCTTTTTCGAATGGTAAAAAAATATTGTAAATTCAGAGTGTGATATAGTGTTCTGGGCCCCATTAGCGTATAATACAGGTACTTTGTCCTTTTTATGTTATATTTTACAAACTTGATGAAAAAAATGGCAGTGCAGACTCGTAGTTCAAGTGCTCCTATTTTCGGTACAGAAAAAGACATTGATCCAGATAATGCCATAACGCTTCCTACTTATGAAGACGTTATTTGCTGTTTTTATAGCGTGAGATTAAAGCAAAAATATGATGGAATCAAGCAACCGTCTAGATTTAGTATAGGTGCAATCGTCGCTCAGAAGGTAGAAACAGTTTGGAAACGTGATTCAATTCCTTTTTTGTCAAGAAAACCCATAAAAAGTAGCGACAGGAAGGATTTAAGTTCAATTTAAGTGTATTTAAGAATGCTCGGGAAAACTATTTGATATTTCAACCTGCAAATGCAAAGACAATGCGTGTAAATGTAAAAAGTCGAGGAAAATACCTGAAAGAGAATTTAATTTTCTAATCTACCAACGAACTAACTGATCGACATTGGACGCGTTGATAAACATTTATCCAAAAAATTTACAGAGCAACAAAACAGAAAATAAAAGCAGGCAAGTAAAACAAGTTATTTATTATTATTTACTATAATAGTCTATGTGTATTTTTTAATATTATGTACAAATTTTAACCAAATGAGAGGAACTGTTGGAAAAAAAATCTGTCAACCATGTTTACTTAAAGTCGATGTAGATTTGTTGTATATTTTGTTTCCATAACTACCGTTTTTAGATGTTTTTTAAATCGGCTTAAAAAAACAGCAGTTTTTGAAACTTAAATACTTAATAACTCGAAAACCACTTGTCGACAAAAACATGTTTTTTCGAAATCGGCAGTAAAGTAGTCAACAATCGGCTGTAAAGTAAAAGGAATCGGCAGTAAAGTAGAACTTTACTGCCGATTTAATACAAGTATTGTATGCAACACATTATAAATTTTAAAATGTGTACACTGCTCCCCAGCAGCAACTAAATAATATTTAAAAAAAGCAACGTCGCGGAGGTGATTGGACCCTTTCATAAAATGTTTAATAAAAATGATAAGTTAATTTCCACAATCGTGATAAAAAATACGACTACTCCCTTGATACATAAATAACTATTATACTCCGAATTTTTTGAGACACTGTGCATATAATTTTTTAAATATTTTTTATTTATATTATTATCTATTATAATAATATTTAACGTTTGTATATAGTGAATATGAATATCTTTTAATGGCTTAACTGTTAGACAATAAATATTCATTATTATTTATTAAATCATAAAAATCAAAAGCATTTATTTCAAAATGATGTAAAATAAAATGTATAATATATTAACCCTTTTATTGCAAAGGCCCAGAGCTAGGGTTATCTTTTATAGACCTGTACAAAAGCCACTTGACTCGAGCGATCCTCCGAACAACAGGTGTCCCCGACACACCGGCAACAA